ACTCAAGCTCCAGGGAAAGATGCCAGTCCACATCAAGACTACATAATCACTGCAGCGAGTCAGCCCAGGTGCCAGCCTAACACTATAAATAAAGAATCATGGCTTGTCAGAGGGAAACCCTTATTCTCCCAGGGAGTGTGTTACAGATACACGGATGAGCACAAAGTGAAATACATCAAAGGTGTGGGTAACCATAAAATTCAGCGTACATACAGTGATTAGAATTGCTCAAGTGCTTTCCCATAAATGATTGCTTTTCCCATAAATGAATCTTCACAACTCCAGGGATGGAAGACAGGTAGATGTTTTTTTGTTGTTGCGTGTTTTTTTAAATATATTTCTTTATTGATTTCAGAGAGGAAGGGAGAGGGAGAGAGAGATAGAAACATCAATGATGAGAGAGAATCATTGATCAGCCGCCTCTTGCACCCCCACTGGGGATCAAACCTGCAATATGGGCATGTGCCCTTGGTCAGAATCGAACCCGGGACCCTTCAGTCCACAGGCCGATGCTTTATCCAATGAGCCAAACCAGCTAGGGCCAGACAGATGTTTTATTAATATTATTTGTGGGCCCACCTTTTACACTTGATGGGAGACTAGAAAAGAGATGTTAAATGAAAACTATCATGCATGTGGGCCACTCAGCACATCTTGAGACCACCCCAGGGAGAGGAGGCCTGATCCCTTCACCTTTCACACAGGAGGCAGCCCACGTTCATATCTTTCATGACCCCAGTCTCCACACAGTGACCCAGCCCTCACATGATTTGGCCAGTTCCCATCTCAGACTCCCAGATATCTTTGTCACCATATGATTCACTTTGTGGTCAATTAATTCCAACAAGAGCTTCTGCCGGAAGCCGGTCCACCCTTGCTGCTTGACAAGTCACTGTAGTGAAGAAACATCTGCACAGCTTATGTTTCAAGGGACCTGGCGTATATGGCATATGTTTGCTCCCACTCTTAGCGCTATGTGTTTTAACCAGGACCACCTCCCCAAGAAAGGTTGTTTCCTCAGGTAAGGATTTTCCCCTGGAGTTAACCCCCTAGTGTTACAGAAATACCATGTACTATTTATGAAGAACTTGGACTAAGACTGTTGGCAATAAATTTGGGACTTGTTGGGACCACATCCCCAGGGGTCTGCCCACCAGGGAAAGCACTAAAGCCTATACCCCCTGGAGACCCACCAGCACAGGGCAGTCCCAGGGAAGGCAAGCAGGGAGGCTGGGAGGACATAACCTTTACTGGGTAGGATAATCTCCTTCAGTCACTTCCTTGTAGCTTATCAGTAGAGCAGTGACCTTGGAATAGCCCTTATAATGGAACACAGAGATTAACCTAGACAGGATTAAACTCAACAGAACTAGATTAAAAAATGCCCTAACCACTTGTATGCATGCATAGAAGCATAACCAGTGGACATAAGACATGGGGGGATAGGGGAGGCTAGGGGACTGTCTAGGGCGGGGGGATAAAATGGACACATATGTAATACCCTTTGTAATACTTTAAGCAATAAAAAAAAAAAAAAAATGCCCTAACCTTTGGAATAGAATTGATAGGATTAAACTCAACAGAACTAAATTAACAAACGAGCTAACTATTGGAATAGAATGAATAGGATTAAAATCAACTGGTATAAATACAGATGTAACAGGAGAATAAAGACAGAACCTGGCAGGAGATCCTGGCTAGAGAACCTGGCTAGGCTGCTGATCAACTGAACGCTGTCTCCGTCCACACCTTTGGGAACCCCTGGACCTGCTGGGGCAGGACCCCAACAGGCTTCCATTCCTAAAATCTTCATATGCCAAAAGAAAGTCAATTTATGCCCCCCATTGTTAACCCCTTAATGCCCTACATTTTCTCTCTTTGAATTCTCTCCTCAAACCACTATGCCCTCTAGAATCTTCTTCCTTTAGTAAAAGAAAAACCATATAAGCACAACATCTCCACACATTATGTTGTGTATTTCATCTACCATAGAATGAAGGGTAAGGGATGATAACTTACTGGTTCCTTAAGGCCACTTTAGAATTACCACCCTTCTACCCTGGTACCCATGCCATCTGACTGTACCACCATGTACACTTCTATGTTTCTATCATCTACTGCCCTCCTGGCCACATTCTTCAAGACATAACACTCTTCTCCTCAATTCCAACTTATGACATCATTCTGGAAAAACTCAGTGTCTCTGTGGGATATCCACCCAACATCTTAAAACCACTGTTCTTGACCTCAAATACACAATAACAAACCTCACCTCCATTCAACATAGACTCCCCTGCCAGACATACATCCTGAACCTTGTCATCACTATAGTGGTTCCACACCCAAATTTTTACCTGCAAACATCCTATTTTAGGAATTGGCTGCCTCTCCTCCAGTGCTCTCAGGACCCTCACTTACACACACCTGCTCTCCAAACTCATGGAGCCCTTCAGTTCCTGAGGTCTTCATTTCCTCACATCTATCAGCCATCCCCTAAAAAGATTATGAGTCGTTGGCTATTTGAACTACTCACCAGCAGCACGTTCAAATGCATACATGTATCTTCCTATATTTCACTCCCCTGGCAATCTCCCAACACAGGATCAATTTAGAAAGCTGAGCACTCCTAAGTAACATATTATAACCATCCAGATTATTGTCATAAACCATATGGTCTCTGATCTTAGGACTTCAATACATCTCCTCAGTCCTCTCATTGGGGCAGCATTCCTTCCTATGTGCCTTAGTAATTATTTTAAACTTATACGTCTCTACTGAGGAACCCTACCAAAGCCTGCCCACCCCCCTCACTCTAAGTAGACAACATAATCTTTTTCCTCACGGAAAAAAAGAAAATAGTGCCCAGAAAGGTAAGAAGGAAAGAAGAAAGTGTGGTGTCATAAAAGCAGACCTTTTTTGGAAGAATCCTCTACCTTCTCTATGAGACCATTACATAGAAAAGTTCTCAGGGCTTACCCTAGGCCCTCTTCTCCCCTTGTTTTCAGTATATCTCATTTACTCCTATAGCTTCAATTACCTTCTTTATGTAAATAACTTTGAAATCTCTATTATCAGTTCAGACTATTCTCTATGCACCATTAAAACTTCAACTCAGTGTTCTCAACATTTCCACTTATAGTATCTAGAAAGCACCTCAAATTCTCATGTTCAAAATTGATCTCTCTCTCTCTCTCTCTCTCTCTCTCTCTCTCACACACACACACACACACACACACACACACACACTGATTCTCTTATCTCCTCTTCATTAAAAGGTGCCACCACCCAGTTGCTTGAGATAGAAACTTGGTAGTCATCCTTGCCTCCTCCCTCTGCCTCACCCAATTCATCAACACTTTCTACTAATATTATCTCCTGACTTCTCTCAGATCCAATCAATTTTCCCTGCTCAAATAATGAACAAAAACCCTGTTCAAATAAGGAAGCTAAAGCTGAGAGAGCTTAAGACATTGCACAATGTCACACAATTAGTAGGTCACACAGTAGAGCTGACTCAGACTCATGTCTTCTCCCACAGCCCATGCTTGAAATTAGAGGATCCTGTCTCACTTGGAGGAGCTCTCAGAGCCAGATATCTCCAGGAAACACTAATAAAATATGTCAACTGCAGTATGGCCCATAACCCAAGGAAAAAGGGAACTGGGCATAATTAGCCTTCCAGAGAATCTTACAAAATCAGTGGTAGTTCCAAGAACTACTGTGTCTAGGGCAGCCGTGGGCAAACTACGGCCCGCGGGCCACATCTGGCCTGTTTGAAATGAATAAAACTAAAAAAAAAAAAAAAAAAGACTGTACCCTTTTATGTAATGATGTTTACTTTGAATTTATATAAGTTCACACAAACACTCCATCCATGATTTTGTTCCGGCCCTCCGGTCCAGTTTAAGAACCCATTGTGGCCCTCGAGTCAAAAAGTTTGTCCACCCCTGGTCTAGGGCGTGCTCCTAAGGTAGTTTCCACACGAAATCAGAAAATGGCCCTAATGCCCAGAACGAAAAGATGAGGTACAAACAAATGGTGAATACAGGGAGAATACATCATGGAATGTGACTACTGAGCGGCATGTGTTGTAAGAATAATTCTTTGCTTTTTAAGCCACTGAGATTTTGAGGTTGTTTGTTACCATAGCAAAACCTGGTTTATCCTGGCTGATTTAATCTCTCTGCTTTCATTAAAGTTTATGAAGGCCTCTCACCATTAGATCCAGAAAGAAATAAAGACTGAAATAGCTGAAAAATAGTGTTCTTCCCCTGGAAATTGTTTCTAATAATTTCATTTTTCCTCTTGCTAGGTTCATGCTCCTCCCTAGTTTCTATTTTACACTTCTGATGTCAGGGAGGGTGCCCACTGGAGGGAATGAGAAGACATGAATGTCGAAGAGAGGGGACTGAATAAATGAATGGCAAGTTTTCAGCATCCCCCATAATGAAATTACCTTGAAAATTACATAAGAATAGACAATGAGGCCTAAGAAAAGGGGATATAAATAGGATCCATTTTTCATACAGTATCATCTTTCTAGAGATGCATCTTTATGTCTTCTTCACTGTAGCCAACCAATATATTCCTTGCACTAGAAGCTGCATCTACCTCTATTCAGTGACTCAGAATTTTAAATTACTCTCGGTTAAAAGTGTGGGCTTTGGGGTCTAACAGAAATAGGGTTGTGTCCTGGTTTCTGTCACTTTCCAACTGTGTGACCCAAAATGAGGACAATAATCATATCCATCTCATAGTGTCTGTGAGGTTTGAACCATCAGTAAATGTACAGTGCTTATTGCAGTGGAAGGCAGGGCTTCATAGTGGCTCGCTAGTATTTGTAGCAGTAATACTAGCATTTTCATCATTATTGCTGTTTTCACTATATAAAAGATAATCAGGGACAGGTTTTTGTGTATCTGATCCATAGCAGCTGGGTCTGGAAGGCAAGAAAATGTGAAGGCTCTTTTGGAAGATGGGAAAAATCATTTCCAACTTACATGCAAACTGAAGATCGCATGGCTCTTCTGGGTGACTTATGAGTTAGTTTCTGGAAAGGAATCAAGAGACGATCTCTGTAAAATTCATGTTTTTTAAATTTAGTACTTATTGTTATCAAAGCAGTTCATGTACATTTGGAGGCAAATCTTACTGCCATAAGGCTTATAAGAAAAAACAATAGTCACCTGTTTGGGGTGATGTAGAGGTGAACTCAAAACATTTGTTGCTTTATGGTAAGGATGAGGGAAAAGGCCATATCTAGAATAACTCCCAGTTTTGGGGAGAGGGCTAAGCACCTAGGTGGATGGTAGGCCCATTCGCTAAGAAAGAGAAGACTAGTACAAGAGCAGGATTTCCAGCAGAAGGGGAGCAAAGAATCGAGAGTTCTGATTTGGGCCTAGTGCAGTGGTCGGCAAACCGCGGCTCGCAAGCCACATGCGGCTCTTTGGCCCCTTGAGTGTGGCTCTTCCACAAAATACCATGTGCGGGCGCGCACGTACAGTGCGATTGAAACTTCGTGGCCCATGCGCAGAAGTCAGTTTTCAGCCTGGGCGAGTCTATTTTGAAGAAGTGGCATTAGAAGAAGTGGGGGTACATTCGCTGAGGTCGACTCCTCAGATTGAGGATGTGTTTAGCAAAGGCCAGCTTAGGAGTACCCTAATTAAGTTAATAACAATGTACCTACCTATACAGTTTAAGTTTAAAAAATTTGGCTCTCGCCCTGACCGGTTTGGCTCAGTGGATAGAGCGTCGGCCCGTGGGCTGAAAGGTCCCAGGTTCGATTCCAGTCAAGGGCATGTACCTTGGTTGCAGGCACATCCCCAGTAGGAGGAGTGCAGGAGGCAGCTGATCGGTGTTTCTCTCTCATCGATGTTCCTAACTCTCTATTCCTCTTTCCTCCTCTCTGTAAAAAAATCAATAAAATATATTAAAAAAAAAAAAAATTTGGCTCTCAAAAGAAATTTCAATTGTTGTACTGTTGATATGTGGCTGTTGACTAATGAGTTTGCTGACCACTGGCCCAGTGGACAGCAAATGTAAAGTAAAAATGTTGGGTAGACAATTTGATATGCAGCTTAGAGGTCAGGGCACGGGTCATGGGGAAAGTTACTGATTTGGAAGTCACTGGCATGTAGATGTTAAATATTTTCTATTTAAATGATAGCAACTTGGGAGAAGGAGCTAAAAGACCGATGATGAAGTCTTTCAACGTGTAGAAGTGAGACTGAGGAAGAGTAAGCAGGAAAAGTGACTGAGAAGCAGTGGCCGGTAAGACTGGCAAAGAGCCAGGAGGGTGTGGTGACTCTGGGGTAAACAGTGGTTCAAGGAAGAGGACGCAGTCAACCGTACATATAGCTCAGTGTTCACAAGATAAGCACAGCCATCCTTTATTTCCCTGCCTCTACCCTTAACGGACTGCTGTGCTTTCGCTCTTATTATTCTCTTGCCCTGCAGTGCCTCCTCACCTGCCAAAATCCTATCTACCCTTCATGACCCCACAAGAATGCCATCACCTTAGTAATGCATTTCCTGGCCCCGCTAATGAAGCATGCTCCCTTCCTCCATAATGCCCTATCACCCATTGTATACTATATCCTAGTCTACTTCGTGCTTTAATTACATCTATTCTCCCTTCACCCTTCATGTTTCTCAGTTGGGCTCCCAACCCCTCCTAATGTAGCAGACTTTCTGGCATGCACTAGGTGCTCAGTAAGGATTTCACTGAGTCAAACGCAAAGATATAGAACTCAAGTCTAGAAAAGTATCTACAAAAGACAACCTCTTTCATCACTTTAGGTTTGTTTTCCAGCATGTGCATCATCTGTACCAAAGCCCAGGAATTATTTCTACACTTTCCTGAATATATCCTGAGCTAATGGCTATTTTATAAAAAACCTTTTAGATTCATCTTTCCCCAGATGTCAGGTATGAAAATAACAAGTTGCAAAAGTCCCATGGATGAAACAACCTTTGTGATCCCTGAACTTCACGCTGGAAAGCTAAGAAGGACTGCACCAATTCAAGCCTCAGTTAGAAGTCAGGCGATAGTTCTTCAATGTTCTTGCTACCAGTGCTACCCTGTGCTTGCATTCTCTTACCCTGGGGAGGAGGAGTGTGGTAGAAAGAAGTTATTTGGCAGGTAATTGTGGCAAAAAAATTGTAGAAAGAAGAGAGAAAAACAGGCTAGAGTCAGAGTCAAAATATGATGAATCAAACAGAATTTCTACAGGCCTAATGATCAACAAGAATTATTTGTCAAGCTGCTCTGTGCAACATGTTATAAAAATGGCTGGGGCTTATGGTAAGGATGATCATCTTTATGAATTGCTTTATCCCCTCCTCTGTTTTGCACCGTGTTGTATCACAGTTGTCTACTGAAACAAATCACCCTTTCGTAGTCAATGGGAATTCAGAAAATTAGATCCTCGAACTTTTGCTAAAAAGTTTACAGATATTTATAAATAGACAAATAGCCTGGTAATTAAGGATATACATTCTTTTTTGTTTCATATTCCAGACCATATTCACTGTATGATCATCCAAAGTGTCTCTGTTGTATTGATTCCTACTTCCTGCGCTTTCAGACCCACGTATTCAGAACTAGGAAACTTTGAGAGTGCAAGGTGGTGACTATTGCAAATGCCCAACAATTCACTACAAAAGTATAAATAATCAACCTAACCTCCCTTTGCCGCCAACATTTTCTCACAACACTCAAAAGCCTAGTAACCTCCTTTTCTTAATGGTGGCGCCGGTTCAACCACACTCTGGTAGGTATTGGTTTCCTTAAGTACAATGTGGAGCCATCCGAATGAAAGAGCAGCATGAGGAAAAACGACAGTGTGAGGCTTTGTGGTCTATAGATTTAGCTACTCATACAAGAACCTGGAAGGAAGAAACCCCCAAAGATTAGTCACTTCATTTTGTGTTGCAGAACTCGAGTCAGGTTAACAAAGCATTTGCCAACAAAGGAGATGGGAGAAGGGCAGGATTCACTTGCTCTGGACTGAATAAACAAATGTGGTATTTGTGGGCTGACTAATGTCCTGGGATAAACCAGGCAGCCAGCCAAATTCCAGGAGTTTTCATGAAAAGGCAGTAAGCCCACACTTTTCTTCATAAAAAATGCTCCCTGGGAGTATCCATGTCCACAAGGACAGCCTGACACTTCAGCTTGCCTTAAAGATTCATCCATATTCAGCCACAGGGAATTCTCAGTGCTTCTGTAATTAAAAACCTAGATTAAGTGATAGAAGCTGAATCCCTTCTTCTTAGGAAGTGTTAAATATGCCATTCATCTCCTTTCTAAAATGTTATCAGATGCATCATTGGCAAATATGTTCTCCTATACAGTGGGCTCCCTTTTAATTTTGTGGATGGTTTCTTTTGCTCTGCAGAAGCTTTTTATTTTGATGTAGTCCCATTGTTTATTTTCTCCTTTGTTTCCCTTGTCCTAGATGTACCCTCAAATATATTGCTACAAGAGATGTCTGAGATTTTGCTGCCTATGGTTTCTTCTAGAATTTTTAATATATCACAACTGACATTTAAGTCTTTTATCAATTTTGAGTGTTTTCTTATGTACGGTGTAAGTTGGTGGTCTAGGTTTTTTTTGCATGTATCTGTCCAATATCCCAACATCATTTACTGAAGAGATTGTCTTTACTCCATTTCATGCTCTTGCATCCTTTGTCAAATATTAATTGAGAGTAATGGCTTGGGTCAATTTCTGGGGTGTCTCCATTGTTCTGTTCCATTGACATATATGTCTGTTCCTGTGCCAGCACCAGGCTGTGTTAACGACAGTGGCTTTGTAGTATAACTTTGTATCTGGTATTGCAATCCCTCCAACTTTGTTCTTCTCAAGTTTGCTGTGGCTATTCGGGGTCTTTTTTGGTTCCATATAAATTATTTGGAGTTATTTGTTCTAGATCTGTGAAATATGCCATTGGACCTTAAATAGACTCTTCTCCAAAGTGGACATACAGATGTCTAAGAGACATATGAAAAAATGCTTCACAGATAAGGAAAATCTAAAGGAGTTCATCACCACCAAACCAGTATTATATGAAATGCTGAAAGGTATCCTTTGAGAAGAGGAAGAAGAAAAAAAAAGGTAAAGATACAAATTATGAACAACAAATATGCATCTATCAACAAGTGAATCTAAGAATCAAGTGAATAAATAATCTGGTGATCATAATAGAATCAGGGACATAGAAAGGGAATGGACTGACTATTCTTGGGGGGGAAAGGGGTGTGGGAGATGCGGGAAGAGACTGGACAAAAATCGTGCACCTATGGAAGAGGACAGTGGGTGGGAGTGAGGGCGGAGGGTGGGGCGGGAGCTGGGAGGAGGGGAGTTATGGGGGGGAAAAAAAGAGGAACAAATGTAATAATCTGAACAATAAAGATTTAATTAAAAAAAATGCTCAAAGTCATTAATCATCAGAGAGATGCAAATGAAAATGAAAATGAAGTATTACCTCACACCTGTCAGAATGGCTACCATTTGCAAATCAACAAATGACAAGTGCTAGAGAGGATGTGAAGAAAAGAGAATCCTAGTACACTGCTGGTGGGAATGCAGACTGGTACAGGCACTATGGAAAACAGTATGGAGTTTCCTCAAAAAATTAAATATAGAACTGCCATTTGACCTAGTGATCCCACTGCTATGCATATATTCTAAGAAACCTGAAACACCAATCAGAAAGAATATATGTACCCATATATTCATAGCAGCACTATTTACAATTGCTAAGATCTGGAAACAGCACAAGAGCCCTTCAGTAGACTAGTGGATAAAAAAGCTGCAGTACATTTATATCATGGAATACTATGCATCAGTAAAAAAGAAGGATCTCTTACCCTTTGAGACAGCATGGAGGGACCTGGAGAGTATAATGCTAAGTGAAATAAGCAGTCAGAGAAAGACAGTATCACATGATCTAATGCGATCTAATGAACAAAATAGACTGATGAACAAAATAGGTCCAAAGACATAGAAGCATGGAACAGACTGACAAATCTCAGAGGGAAGGCTAG